TGTACTTCACTTTCTTAGGGTTAATTATATAACTTTAAAATTATATTTGTTTTTAGTAACTGTGTCTGTAATAGTATCGGAACTGTAATAATTAATATCCTAGTTTACTGAATGAGTTACTTTCCTGAGTTTAAAAGTTTTTCAGTTGTAGTTTAAATGTTATAAAGTAAAATGAAAGATGTTTTCATAATAGCAATGAGAAACATTTGCTTAAAGCACTATGCGAAAATTTAAAATTAGTCTGCTCAGCTCTTAGAGGTATCGGGATTATTCGGCTTATTATAAAAAATTATAAGGACTCATAGGAAAGCCTGGGCTTACAATTCTTAACAAAACATTGTTGCCAATGCTTCATTACTACTCAAATAGACAGAATCTCAAAATATACGATGTTTGGAATAGATGGAATGTGTATATAGTGGTATTCAGGATGTTCATTTCGTCCTATTTGAGACCTGTCAGCTGGACCTGCCTGGATAATCCGAAATATTAGAAGTTAATTTAAGATTCATACCCATTGAACAACTAAACGGCTATCCGGAGTCAATAACTAAGTTGCGTTTGGAGAGAATAGTTCCGAGTTCGAGTCCCGGGACGAACATCAGCTGTGGGATGTAAGTACATACAGTTAGTGAGTCCCAAATGAGACGAAATGCCTTTTCTGGATTCCATTGATAGCCCTATTCCATATCTTCTGAAATTATTAGGACTGAAAGTATCATGAACAACAGTTTTTCTCAACCCTGTCTATAATCTATGTAGATTTTATTTAATACAAAAAAGAATAATACAATGTTATGCAATGGCAAATAATATTTTGAAATGCACTTTAAGCATTCATATGTTCATTAAAAAACAAAATGTGTTATCCTTTTAATACGATCAACGTTGTTGACAGTATTCGTAATATTATACACAGCTGTTGTATTGGAAAACAGAACTGATTTGATTATTCAATGACATATACTTAATAGGCAAAAATATAGTCACTAGTATAGTTAATAAGAAATGGTCAACAGCTGTTCAAATTAGCTTTTAATTTATATATTTGTGCGGTGAAATTATTTTGAAAGTGAAGTCACTGAACCGTTTCTCAGGTCGGTTGTCAACTCCTTGATCGTGAGTGATCTTTAATTAAAGGTATCAAATTTACTCTTTGTACTAACCACTTGTTATCACCATAGATTGCTTGAATCCTCATGATTAAATTATATGATACTGAAACTTTGTATCCCTTACTTTCTTGAATTACACTTTTAACTATTGTCTTAAAACAATGCACATTCATTCATTGCATCGCAGTTTAAATGTGATGATTCATTGCTCTTGTTTCGTAAGCAACACTACCCGGTCAGATTATACTACACTGACGAACTTCAGTGCGTAGAGACTGGAGACATGAGGGACGATATATTTTACTCTGCAGAAGATGCTGGTCAAAGGTATCTATAAACCATGGTACATTCCTTGCCGACTTAAAGCTTTTGTTTCTACAAATAATGATTGAATGAATTGTCAGGACTTAAGTCACAACTGCAACAAATCTAGAAGATGTAACTCGTGTTTTCGGAGTGCAATGGTATCACTTCTACAGAGATTTAGCGTTCGATAGTTTTAGAGTTAGGAGCTACGGTTAACGAGTTCAGGGTTTTGTGAATTTTCAGATTGATTACCTGTGTCAATGCTATTAAGACTGCGATTTCGACATTCTTTTGTATTTTACATAGCTTTCCCAAAAAGCTGCATTTTGGTTGATTATTTTCTTATTGATTGTTCCCAAAATCACTCTTAGAATCGCTGAAGGTCATCAGGATGGTATAGTCTTGCCAATTACCCTGATTAGTTTTCTTTAGTTGGTTACTCATCATTGCTGACGCACTTAAATGATTGAAGATTCATTATGAATAATAGCTTTTCCCAGCACAAAGTATTCCATTTATTGGTCGTTAATTTATTATCCCGAAAGCACTTGTCTTAATATCATTTAAAACATTTTAATAAATGTCAGAATACCTTTGTTTATACGTTGAAATTTAATTGGAATAGGTATTTATTTGTTGCAGCGGCGCGCCAAGATTTCCTTGTGTGACTTAACTTGATCTCGATAACATTGACACTAAGTTGAGCGTTTATAGTTGTTGAGATTATTGTCCATTAGTATTTAGAAGATGAATCTATCTTATACATGCATTAGCATGGTGATTACTGATGACGGAAGATAGATCGAATCATGAGTACCGGATACTTTCAGTTTTAAAATTAAGAGACCAATGAGGCATCTCGTTTATAATTCCTTCCCGTTGAATTACTCTCACTTAAAGTTATGATTATTCGTTCGTAAAACATTAGATTGCATAATTATTAGAATTACTTTTAATTCAGTACTCATCATACTTTATCTCTAGTTTTAGGTCACAAAATGTGATAATCTCACTTTCAACAACAACAACTACAGATTTGTTTCATTGGTGTTAAAAACCACTATCAATCAGTAACACTATGTCTAGCAAAATGTGATCAGATGAAATCAGAATGTCAATTTAAACTTTCACAATACGTAATTCATATGAAAACATCAATGATCACTCATTCGACTTTGTTTGTCAACATTTAACTATATCAGTAGTAAAATAGTCGTTACTGATCCATTAAATTGTCGTGAATTTAAGCCTCGAGTCTACTCAACTTGATATGTGTATCTTTGGATGCCAACTCAATGGTTTAATGACTAATCGTTCTCCGTGTGCTTTAAAAGTCCCAGCTTCGACTCATCATATGGTCGTAAGTTTGCACTGTTGAAAAGTCTAGTACTAATGTAAAACAACTGTCTGGTGAGCTCTGGTTTTCTAAGGTACTTCATAGTAAGGTTCGTCTGGGACGATTACAACCTAGATATCACATTACTATTAGAACACTTCTAGGGAAAGATTATATCAATCTCTTGTAAAAAGTAACAGCTAATTGAATCTATGCCTTAGAGTTTATGTGAAGTGTATTTTGTTATCAAGTTGACAGAATTACTAATTAACAGAATACAGAAATTATTCTATTAGTTGATGTAGAATTTGAGTCACATACGATAGATTTACTCAATCATCAGTATAGTGCGGTTCTTAGAGAGTATTCATTTTCAATTAATTTACATTTCAAATTGAGATTAAACGGATCACCAATGGGGGGTCAAAGTTCGACTTGCACTTCGGCGTCGTGCCCCCTAGATAGTGGGTGATCTTTTTCTCCATAAACTAACAGAAGAGGCACTGAGGAGACCAGGCTGACCAACTAATCTATAGTCAGCTGGAGATCAGACTAATCACCCGCTCTGTCTTAACCTTGATTGAATGAGAAGCGAGCTCTTATTGAATTGGGACCACGACTGAGGCACTAAAGAAAATTTCCCCTTGGGTACCTGAGCACACTAGTCTGAAAGGGCCTATAAGGTATGGCACGTGCGGGAAAGAGAGTAAAAAATAAGCTGTAACGTCACTAGTGCACAGTGGTCGATACTAAAACAGACTTGTGGTAAGAACGTGAAGTGAGCACATCGCCCATGGTGACTTACATACTGATTTGAATACTTTATGTTCATTCAGTGCAAATGCTTCTGGGCTTGAGGGCCAAGGTCGTTCGCATCTATGCCTATTTGTATACTATAGAGTTTATGGGGCCTAGCTTACTCATTCTATATATGTATATATCGCGTAAACTTGCTAGTGAAAACTTCTATACATATGTGTATTTATGGGAGATGTGGACATTCCTACGTTTTGCATAATTACATGTACAGCATTCTAGCAACCGTGCCCATCTATGTCTATATGTATACCTCGGGAATGTATGTATCTTTGACACCTGCATTTGTATATATCCATATGAAGCTACTTATTAGTAGTAGCTTATCAAAGCTTTTGGCTTAGATAAAAGATTCCAAAGGTGATAGGAGAAGAGTAGTGTAGTTCAATAAGAATATGTCTACAATGAACACTGTACTGGTATACTATTCCTTAAATACACATATTCTCCAGTGTCCTGTGGTACTGTATTCTCAAAGCTCAGTTCCACTTCGTTGGGGAGGTAACTAAAACCAGTGGGATAACTAAAACCTGGAGGACCAATGAAAATATAGAAACACTGGTCAGTTAGTCATTTAATCTTAATCTGGAACAATTCAACATTACACACTCTTATAATCATTAATTGATACTGGGAACTTTTCGTCTTACATAGTTGCACTAAAATTACCATTGGAATTTATCTGACCCGTAAATATGGAAATGGTATTAGTTCTAAAGAACGTATATTAATGCATTGTATTCAATAAATGATTATCTATTTTCTATTGAGTTTTAATTACACTTCGTAAGCTACACCATGAAAACCTTCAATCTTTCTCCGTTTTTTACAACTATTTACTGGTCATCAAAAATTAATTTCGACAAAAATTAACGTTTTAGTTTAAGACTATTCGTAAGAAAGTTTATACATGGCGATATTGGAATAATAAGCTTAGATTTTTTTTATTGACAGGAAGGCTTAACTTGCTTATTGACTTTCAGATTGAAAGTGATTTTCCAGGTATCTAAAAACTGAAATGTAGATTAATCTTAAAAAGAGAAAAAGATATTATTGAAGCAACCTATTACATTAACTGTCATATGATACACCCACGTTTGTTGAAGTATTTGTGACAAGAAGGTCAATATTAACATAAATATAGTGATATAATGAATTAATTCTATAGTCAACCCCTTACTGAAATGTATTCAACCGATCTTTCTACATAAAAAAAAGCATGGACTGTTTAAAAATTGCAACAGAGTATTTCAGTGTCAATCGACACATTTACATGTTTATATATGAATTTGATTTTACTACACCCACAATCGTTAGAAACAAAAGTGCGTAGGCAATTTTAAACCAAATTTATAGGTTAACTAGATTGGGTTTCTTTATAGTAACCAATCTGTGCTTTATAAATAAACTGGGAAAAACAAAAACAAACTACTTTTAACATAGCTTCGATTGCTTCACTTATTCTGAGGACATAAGTTGAATTATAAGTTTTTAGTATTTCGGTTATTTGGATACGGTAGTGTTGTTTCTTTGGATTTCGGTGACGATAATCATGGCATCAGCAGACGTTGGTATGGCGTACCAGCCACCTTCTCAAATAAGTCCTCAGAGTGGTAATATGACAACATCAACTAAAGTGCTTAATCTTTCGAGAGCCCAAGTCAACTTGGCTCAACCAGCATATGGTGCCTATCCAACATCAATATCCCCACAACAATCCACTCACACAAATGCTTATAATTATGCAACGCAACAAAGTCAATCACCCCCATTTTATGCTTATCCCAGTCAGACAGGAGTTGGACAACCTGATAACAACTTTAATAAAACAGGTTTTCAAAATTTTGCGCAACCCCAAGTTTTCACAATTGGTTCTAGTCAGGCGTCTCAAATGCAGCCAACTCAGTATCGACAACAAATTCAACAGTCTCAACAACCGCAACAGTATCGAGTTGTTGCAACTCCTTTGCAAACTACAAACATGGAGCAACTGAATGCTTATCCTGTAAGTCAGATTAATTCGCAACCTTCTTACAACACTCAACCAAATGTCATTTACTTCGGTCAGTCTGGACAAACTCAGCAGCAATTACCGCTACAGCAACCTTACCATCCAGAAACACAACAGCAAGCAGGTCAAGTGGTATATGCAAGACCAGCCAGTCAGTCTTACGCTCCTCCAGGAACTGCCTATCCAACTCAAGCACAATTTACACCACAGGCTAACACAGGCGCATTATCCTTTCAGCCAACCAATCAGCTAACACCTTCGTCCCAGCCAATCAGCGTTCAGCCCGGTTATCAGGTTAATCAAACAGGCCAGCAGAATTTTAATCAGGCATCAAGATTTCAACACGTGTCAAATCCTCTACCACCTTCACAAACTCCCCAGTTTCAAGTGCAAAATCAACAAGTTTATTCTCAAATTCAATCAAAACCTCAATCACTAGCACAACCTTACACTTCACAAACTAATTTTAATCAAGTTGAACAGAAACCAACACAAGTTGCACAATCCACTTGGAGTGCACAAGCTAATAATCAAGTAATTGATAACAGAGAAAAACAACAATATTATCAACAACAACAACAACCAGTTCAAACTTATCAACAAGTTCAAACTAATCAGTTCAACACACAGAATACTTTACCACCTATTGTATCTAGTCAAGGATTTGATCAACAAGTACCCAGACGTATACCTTCTGGTGGTCAGTCAAAACAAATTAAGGTCAAATCACTGGTAAGTAGTAACATTGAATATAATTTCGATAATTAAACTACATTTAGATTTGATACTTTTTGATAAGTCGATATATATCGATAATTGTTTATTAATTAACTGTATATGATGAATAGTTAATTAGTCAGTTCCACAGATATTTCTCTATAAGGGAACCGTTGATATTCTCATTAGTTAAGAAGGAAACAGAATATCAATTATGTTCACATGAATCATTCAATAGTTATTCTTTAGAAAATATTAAAATAACTTACATTTATTAGTAATTTGTCAAGCAGACTCATACTCTAGGACGAATTATATAATTACTAATGAAGAAGGAGTTGGATGATACAGCAAAGACAGTATCACTTTGTAATGAATACCACTTAAGAGGTACTTTTACTTAATTGAATAACCTTGTGTTTTGTTTTTATAATCATTTGTAAAATAGAAATTTGACAAGAAAATATTCAATTAAAATGGAGGAACAATTAACTAATTATAAAATCCACTGTAAATTGTAGGACTAGAAATGTGAAGCTTATTCGTTTGATATGAACAGTTTATAATAATGTAGATTCATCTAGATTGATTTTAATGGAGGTTTATCTTTTAATAACTTATGTAAATATATATTTTAATCAATATACTTCTTATTAGTTTAATAGTTGAATTCATTAGTCTGAAAACTATGTAAAACCTGGAAGCGAATCGGCATCGTAGATGCGCACTGCTGAAGAGTACCATACTAGGGAGAAACGGTCGTCCACTGCTTCCAGGTTTTCCATGGTGGTCTAGTTTCAATTGACTCATGAGTTCAACTATTAAATTACTATAATATCCACAAAAACCTTCTCTGATTCTAAATAATTACTGAAATAAGCGGATAAACAAATTACAAATTGATGTTATGCTAAGCTCTGTGAGTTTTTTTCCTGACGATATTTACATACGAAAGTGCAAAACATAACTAATTTTATGGAACATGGTTTTCTACAAAGGTATCAATTATTTCATCATAACATAGTCCCTTTTATGATCTAACGTGTTTGTTGAAAAGCTTCAAATAATCAGCAACTATATAATTGATGTCCAAGATTACTTCGTTGTAGGATAATTTATACAAAGAACTAGTGTTTTTCATTTGTTCAATCATTTCGGTTGAATTATTTGTTATGTAAAAAAATTATCACAACGAAATATAACCTCGTTTAAGAAGTAACAGATTGTTGAAGCTTCAATACACCATGTAGTATATACTAGTCAGAATATTCTACTAACAATTTTTCTTACAATGTGCTTGTAATTGTTTATAACTACAATACAATTTTTATAACAGTTTTACATGTCTAAATAGGCGATTTAAATGTCCTTAATATTCTGCCTAAATAGTCTAGTAATCAGTCTGTTTTCATAATCGTTTACTATCAGGTTATTCTATACTATTATCTTCTTGAACCTCTTTCATATATGCTGTTGCTGAACTTCTATCACAAACTCTTCGGGTATCATCCCAGTTAGTCCCTGTTCCTTTCCTAGAGTACTAATCATTTTCCATACGTTTGGAAGAGTAAGACTAACTAGTTGACTAAAGCCTCTATGCTATCCATTTACCCTATTTTCTGTATTACAGAAATTATTCTAATCAGGAATATAGATGTTTCACAGTACGCTTTGAAAAGTTATATCAGTAGGATCTTCGAGTCTTGTTTGTTCGCCGACCTAACTCTTTTTAGAATAATTCGCGAACACTAATTTTTACTTTAATCCCTACGTAGGATGTCAACTCCGTTACTGTCATATGCCGCTGTAGCATCTGTGACTAGTGCATTAACTTATGTTGTCAAACAGCGGTTCTGCAAAAAACGATTTTCAACTGTTGTAGGACGTTGAAGGTATGGTGATTGCTGCAGTCTCCACCATATACATTAATTCAAGTGGAACAAGCAACCATTTTGTACCGAATTTGAATATAATTTTCGAAATACCGTTAAAACTGAATATTTCTAATTATTTATGATATTTGATGAATTCAAAGTTCATTCAAATAGTTGAAGGAACACAAATACAAATTCGTAATTTTTTCGTTTATCAAAATGTAGACCGAGAAAATGATCGTGTAACATTTTGTAGTATGGATCGACTAGGTATGAGTATGGAGGCGGGTTCCTAAATGTCCTATCGACGTATCTATGGCGATATGTTTCCAAAATCTCTACATTCTAAGTTTTAGAAAACATTAAAATGAATTTCTTCTCCGATTCACTATCCTGTGGAAAAAAGATTCTCCTCTGTCACATTTGATTCGTATTCAGTCAGTGAATTTAGTACTGCATCCAATGGACTTGTATTTGATAAAAAGGCCTAATGGTTATATCGCGCGCTCTGAATTATCTACTTCATCTGAATCACAGATACAAATTGGACTAACACTGTATATGACAAATGAGTAGATACCATTTTAATGTGTCACTTCTGTTGATGAACCTGCTTGAGCTTGTATTTTACTGATTACTTGTTTTGTGTTATTATTATTATTACTACTACTAATAATAATGGCTTTATCCAATATTATATTTTGGTACAATATAGACCATTGTATCTACCTTGAGCTTTATCTGAAACATGATTATATTCCTTTGCCCGTTTGGCAATGGCCTCATGATTAGCATGATAGTACTGTTATTTCCTTAACTTTACGATTACTGCGAATACGATTGCCAAATTTAGATACGCGGACATATACGATCAACTAATGAAGCATACACCTGTACAAACAGCCTAGAGTCTTGATTGATCCTTTCCCCGCTAGCCCTGCCTGTTAAACCCAGAAAATCAATTTCAGCCTCCGCTATATGAATAATATATTTCAAACATAATTGGTTTATATACAAGCCAAACAGACCACATAACAAATAGATAATTACATTTGTACAAGATCAAGTCAGAAAATGGCTGTGACTGTAATTAATAAAATGGGCATAACATAAGAATATTAAATTGTATAATAATAATCCATAGGTCAAAATAAAGCTTATAATAAGAGGAATATGAATATACATAGTTTAGTTGCTTAACAATTATAAATAAAAATATATGTATAGTATTAATCTCTAAACAGATCCCAACACTTACCAATCATTATTCTCGTCGGGATATAACAAGTACAACCTACACTTTGCTGTACAATATTCTCTGAATCATCAAATCTCCTTGTCATCAATACTTTTTTTTCTTTTTGTATATGTAACACGACAGCCTCTGTAACTTTTACATATTCCAATTTCTGTCCTATAGTTCTTCACCTTTATATGTAATTAGATCATTTTTAATTTACATTAAATAAATTGGCATAAACTTATTTCATGTACCAATCACACATCCAATACAATTAATTAATCATCATTTTGCCTAATATTTTTCTTACATTTCTTGTAAACTGATTCTTAACTGTTCATAATGATGCAAATATGATCAGTCTGTATCTTCAAGCAACAGATTTTCAATTCTTTTACTTCTCATATTCATCAATTCATGTTATTTATCTGAGTATGTAAATCAATTACTTTAGATCAGAATCGATCACAATGGCGTCAGTGTATACACTCTTTGTCTTCCCTTAAACTGTGATATTAAAGTTGTTTTATACTTCTCTTTCTAAGAAATAATTCCCTTTCTTCCTGTATTGTATCCTCATACACAATCTTTCTTTTATAAATTATTACCATTGAAGTAACTACTTCTATGAATTTGGTGTTTATCTTGTTGTGTGAATGGGGTGCGGCAACTTAGACCGATGAATATATGTGTCTGGTCTTACTTTGTAGCTGACTGATTGATTAAGATCACCAGTTTAAAATTCTTATCCATATGAATTGCAATATTAATGTTTAGGAAATGAATAATGGAATGGCCCACCAATTTATTTGTCTACATATGTTGTATTCTTCTACAGTTTCTGCTAATTATAGTTGATTAATTCGTTTGTAGTTTCATTGATAAAAATATCTGAATCAAAATATTGTAAATTTGCAAAAACATATTCAGTAAATACGTTCAATAAATTACTTCATATGACTATACCGAAACTAGTGTCAACTAACTTCATCATGAACTTTACATTCTAGTTTTGTTTTGTTATAGAATCGTTACAAAAGAACCTGGTGAATACTTATATTATAAAGATTATGTTCCATGTTAGTGTAGACAGTTATTATGTGGTAAGGAAAGATTTATGTTTATAATTCAATAGTCGTAACATTTGATGATGAATGAAAAGCAGCTGAAGAAAACATAGATAAAGGAAATTATTAGGGAGATATTACCTGATAGTTCAGAATGGCTTAGAAGTTGAGAATATACATATAGAATCACACGCATTCCACTCATGATTCGCGTATGAACCAGTTCTGTTTATATAAATATGATTTAATACTTTTACGTACACTAAAGTTGTAAATTTTTTTACAATCTAATTCAACTGATTGTTTTTGTTTTAATTTAGCCAATGCGTAATTCGGTTAGCATAGATGGTATTGACTCATCTGGTCCACCACAGTTTGTTGTCCATCCTGTAGGCCAACTAACCATAGCAGAAGGTGAACCAGCTAATATAACTGCTCGTGTACGTCCGGCTGGTGATAGTACATTGATTGTTGAGTGGTATAAAAATGGCAAGCCATTACCAGCAGGTATGTATTTATATTGTAAATCCTCATTATACTATTTTCTAATTTATCATTAGATTTTTATACATATTAGACAGATTTATTATAAAATTCATTTGATAGAATATTTTAAGTGTATATTTATGAACAATAGTTTAATGACCTTCTAGCATACTTCACTAGGGTCATACAATCATTTATTTCATATGGACCATTAGTTTACTGTTACAAACTCATGATATTGACGTGGACCTGATGCGTTTAAGCACGAAATTTATTTTGATTTGATACACTCAATCGGTCAGCTATAAATGAGCAGTCCAGAACTTGGTACGTATGTACACTGATCAAAGATAACAATAGGTATGTTTTTCTCCTACGCTTCTTATTGTCTGTATGAATTAACAGATTTATGAAATGTATGTATCCAAAAACATTTTCAAATTTAACTTACTGTATTCCGTTATTCATTAATGCAATTAAGTCTGCGAAACTATTCAGATTTATTCAAGGAAATCATCTCATCATTCCTCATCGATTTCAAGTGGAGTTGAAAACAGATACTAAGACTTCACACCTATATATCAGTAGAAAGTTAATAATATGAAAACTGAAGAACTTGGAAAAGAACGAAAGCAATCAAAAAGTAGAAACTTATGAGATAACAATTAAAACTCAAGGTTAGGAAGAAATAGCGAATAAATACATAAAGACTACTGTGACAACATTTGTCACAATTTAAGTTTGAGAAGTAAAGGAGGCTGAGGTGACTTCACTACACCTGGCTACAGAAAGTCTCCAGCTGATCGAACTTTATTTTGAATAAATCGATTGATTAAAAATTCATCCACGTGTTGAGGTGTAAGTCGTTCCGCTGCCTGTTGATTCGATAGAAAAGTCAGTAGCCACCAGACAAGTAGTTGATTAGGATATTGGAGTATCCTGGTAAATCCTCTGTTCTGAGAGACAAATAAATTGAGGACATCAGAAAAAAGTTATTATTCGGTATTTTGTAGATCGTGATTAAGTCTCAGCTAGTCTTTCTATTCGACAAGACGGGTAGGTTTCTTTGACCATATTTCTTTGTACCTTTTCCAACAATTTACCCTCTGTATTTGTACATGGGAAATTAAGTTAGCACATGAGTTGATATTGGAAAGTAGTCACATAATATCGTGAATTGGTTGAGGTTAGACATGTAAACCGCTGAATCCAGACTCCCCTCGTTTGGAGGTTAAGGGTCCGGGCGCGAAATCACAGATCTTTTATTTGATCCCATGACGGTGATCACGGGTACGTTCTGATGATTAACCCCATACCAAGACGAAGCTTCAGTCAAGCGGTTTTTGATTCTTAGTGGTGGTTTAACTAGGGTGATTTCATGAAACAAATATAAAATATGGGAATCCTATGGGATACGCTTTCAGCATAACGTATGAATAAAAAATTGCTTTCGTATTCAATGCAAATGTAATTCAAAAGAAACGTAACAAGTAAGCAACACAAAATTTACAGTGCTCTTTCTCGTATATTCCATAATAATCTGTGTTAAATCAGTTTTAAAACAGCCAAAAATAGCATAAAAGTACAACTTTTCACAGTTTTGATCTTCCACACATTAGGCTTTATATTAATGAGACTATATTCTTAAAATCTCTGATTGAATTTTAAGTAAATTCAATGTTTCTCTTGTAAATCCGGTCCATACTTTTTCAAGGAAATATAATCAAACATCAAAATTATTGAATATAAATCGATACATGATACACTAACTAGTTTATCCAATTATGTTAGAAATGTTTGAAGTACATATTTGCCATAGTACGTTTGAGACATTTGGTGTGTAACTAAGTGTGTTAAGATAACAGATTGTGTATTCTTTTAAGTGGATCAATATTTTATCTTAGTAAATCCATGTTGTCTTTTTCTTTTCCAAGCTTCTCGTTTCACAACGACATTTGATCGAGGCTACGCAGTGCTCGATTTTCTATACGTGAATGAGGATGATAATGGAGATTATTCCTGTGTAGCAACGAACAGTCAAGGCCAAGACCAATCAAGCAGTTGTCATGTGACGTGAGTGATTATAATCACTGTTTTTTTTCAATGAAGTTTCTGTTTCATTTTTCACCAGCGCTTTTTTTTCTTCTGCATGACAATGTAAGATGTTACAGGAATGTGGTAAATCCAATTACTGATAACATCATCACTGAGTTATACCACCAAAAAATTTTCTCATTATCTTGTGATTATCAGAATTAAACATTGAGTTGGTTATTAAACTGAGTAGTGATAAACTGCACATTTTAGTTAATTAAAACAGCAACTGGTTGTAATGCTTAGATAAAAAAAATTGTCTTACTGTGTATGAGACATAACGGTCTACTTGTATTGGCACCAGTGAAACAAGTACCATTTAACCGACATATAGATTTGATTACATGTAACGTGTAGATTACTAATTTCATGGCAGTTGAACTGTCTTTATTCACGCTACTCATCAATTAAATATTCTGAAACAAGATAACTCAAATAAAAAAAATTTGTCAGTTTCAATATAAATTCACGCGTTCATTAATAATAACTACTACTAACTAGTTATATTACATTAGAAGCTGTTAAACTTAAGGAATATGTACAGTTTAAAAGTTCCATTTTTTCAATGTTTTCTCAGAGGTTGTCTAATCGCTCTGCATATCATACCGTATCATCAACTTGTATTTTTTCATTGTATTCGCGATTTGTAGAGAGGATAAAGGGTTCTTAATTTGGGTCACAAAACAGTTCATTGATTGATGTAATAATACATTATATTATAACAACAAATACAAACGTTCCCAAGATAGTAACTGTTACAATGCTCGGTTTTACTTCGTCTAATGTTATAACGGTTGGGTTTCCACTTTTACACATGTGGGACGTTAATTTACCTTAGACGAATACCTACACTAGATTCCCTCCAAATGTCTATTCTACAGGACGTCAAAACAACTCAGATCAAGGAAACGTGATTAGCCTGACCACAACGTAAATATATTTCCACACCAAAAACCCGACGCAATCCAAAAACAATGAACAATCAATAATAATTATAAGGATAGGGGAATATATGACTCATGACACCTGTCAGACTATCTACATGCTGACTAAGCAAACAACCAATCATTATCATTCTCGCCCACACATCACTAACCCTATTTAATGTGTCTGTAAGTATGGTTACCAAGGTTTAGACCCGATAATTTCTAATAATATGAAACGAGGTTCCTGTAGATATTATAGTGATTTTAATAGTTGAGAGCATGAATCAATTGAAGCTAGATCACCATGAAAAACCTGGAAGCACTGGACGGCCGTTTCGTCCTATTGTGGGACTCCTCAGCAATGCGCATCCATGATCCCGTCTCGTGATATTCTAATCCAGGAGTCCCACAATATTTGTTTTAACGGAGTAAATATTAGTGAAATGATTCATTTCTATTGATTGTTTGAATCTTCCGACTGATGTTTATGATTGCAAGTGATCAATTTATTTTGATATAAAGGCGTTCTGGGCGGATTGTTTCGATATTGCTTCAAGTCACGAGGTTATTAGTGAAATGTTTGTGGAATTTTACACAATGTGGGTAAACTCTCTTTATATCGGTGATGACTTTTAGGAACAATCAGCTCTGGTAGAGTAGTTCAATATAAAAATTATAAATGTGTTAAGCGTAGCATTCCCATGGTAAACTCAGAATATTCAGTAATGTTACAGTTTAGTTTATTAAGATGAACCAATCCGGTCATTATTTATACTGACCTACTATTGAGTTTTGTTTCTTGAAATCAGACGACAAGAAATTACGGATATATGCGTGGTAGAACTAATTGTTATCAAATAATGAGGTTAGTTGAAATGCCTCAACGATACACAATCATTAGGTATCTAATATTGATCTGAAAACAGCTCACTTTAATATATATATATATATATATATATATATATATATATATATATGAATTTCCAGAATTCGACCTCTGATAAGGTTTTGGTTGATTAACAGTGAAGTATCTCATACTATGAGTAAGAGACTGTCTGGTGTTGATTTCTCCAGTCTAAAGTATTGTCTACAAATTCGGCCGAAAGTTCTATCTTCGTTGATCGAAAGACTATATTCTGCATTTCACTTTTTTGTCAACAAGTTTTACAGTTTTATATTAAAATGGGAATATCTATTTAATTGTTTGCACTTATTTCACGTAGTATAAGAAAAGGTTAATGCAGTTTCGGTCAACCATTTTCATTTTCTAGCTCGCGTTCCCTGAAATTTTAAATTAGATAGGGTAATCGGTTCAACTGTTTCGTAAGTTTTATTTTCTCGTAAAGGATCCCTTGTGTAGTCTCCGTTTGTTAGTCGTTTTCATTTTTTATTTAATTATCAAACATATAAGTTAATTTTATTTTATTTATTCAGAATTATACCAGAAGAGGGAGTTGTCACTGAAACTCAATTACCAGAAGAATCTATGATTGCAAATCTAGCTATGATGGAAGATCATTTAGTAAGAAATGGATTAGATAGAGCTAATCGTTATCATGACGATATACGTCCAACAAATCCACCAAATTTTCTTAAACCACTTGCACCACAAGTTGGTCTTCGTGAATCGGCTCCAGCACATTTCGAAACATGTGTAGAACCCACAAATGATCCTTCGTTAACCGTTGAATGGTATAAAGATGGCAAACCTGTTAGCATGGGTATGTATAATTATACCTTTTTTATATCGACTGTGTAATGCAAATATTTAAAGAGGTAAAGTTTTGTTTCACTGAAACTTCTTTTAGTTGTGAATATCCACGTATAATGATTATTAAATTGAGAAAATGAAAGAAGTAGTTTATATCACAGGTTATATCATCTAGCATGTAGCTCAGATCTTTAAACTGATGTCATTTATCAATCATTATCATTTTGGAATAAATAATTTTAATATTTGTATTCTAGCTTTAGCTAATACAAACTATCATAATTAAAGTTAGTGGAGAAATCTTTTTTTGGGATTGTTTAATCATTTGATGATTATCCGGAAGATTTTGTAGCTGTACCTCATTACGATCGTCAATAATACAACCGTTGAACTATGTACTGAATTTAAAAATTTTAAATTGATTGAAACAACGAGACAGACTACTGAACAAATTTTTTGTAGATGAGATCTTTTTCTTTATTACAATTGGGGTTTGTGGAGTTTGTAGTAAACTAATAGTTGAATTCGTGAGTCAATTGAAACTAGACCACCACTGAAAACCTGGAAGCACTGGACGGCCGTTTCGTTCTGATATGGGACTTCACAGCAGTGCGCATCCACGATCCCGCACGAGGGACTCGAACACAGGACCTTCAACACTCAATATGATATGTTAATTTCTTGCAACTAAATCCTTTGATGAATTTAAAGAGTGCAAGAAAATAAAGTCGTGTGAAATAAAATGAGTTCGTAGATCTATTTCACAGCTTCTTAATAGCTGTATATAGTCCGAAGGTACATTTTTAATATAATTAGGAATGAACTGTTTAACATACTTTAGTTTGTGCAGTTTACATGAATATTCGAAATATTAATAGACGAATCATAGTTATCAGAATAATGGGATATAAATTGTATGAACGAATGCAGTTTAGATCAATATACATTTCTATGTCGAAAAGTAGTAATTTAGTGACGAGTTTCCCGGTACAATCGAAGAAATAATCAAAGCGACACTGATAGAAAGTTTTCACGGACCCCAGTTGGTTTCAATAAACAACAACAAGTGTTCGTTATACCATTTAAAGGTAAATCAGTACGTATCCAACATTACCTCCAATTGTATCTATGATCTAATATGTACTTGATTTAGTAAGTATGCGAGAAGGATAGTCAGAAGAATTTCCACTAGGTTTTTCTGAAGATAGTCCTAGAAATTCATGCCTAAAAGGCAATAAGATTTTCACAAGTGTAGCTGTCAGGTGTCTTTTAGATAGTGAACATGGAGCAAATGTAGGTTATGAATTTGCAATAATTAACAAACAGTCAATACTAATTTTACTCCGTCTTGTAGAAGCAAGAGATATTAAACGTTTCTGACCTGACCTATATATATATATATATATATATATATATATATATATATATTATTATCTATATATATACTCATAGATTGATTTGCTTTTCTTTCTTATCATGTTGAGTGATTATGCAATCAACTATTACCAGTATAAAAGTTGTGGAGATTATTGATTGAAATCATGAACTATTAGTCTCATTGGGTGCAAATAACTCCGCTTATTTTGAGTATGATTACTAGCAACTATAACGTTACATCCTATGCTCTGAATTACTACTCTTTGACATAAAAATGCATATCGATCTTAACTATATTCGTTCATACATATGATTCGTCTATTTACATTTCGAAAATTTATCTAAACTGCACAAACTAAAGTATGTTAAACAATTTGTTTCTAATTATATTAACAAATGTACTTTTTGATTGTAGACAGCTAGTAAGATGTGAAATAAATTGATGAACCCATTTTATTCTGCATAAACTTCTTTACCCTTACACCATTTGTGCTTATAATAAGTTGACCAATTTTACTTAAAATATATATTGGCCTGAGAATTGATCAAGATCATTTTACGAATAATACATTTGGATTCAAACATGATCTTAGCTTGACTACCGTGTCTTACAACTGTGTCGGGTTTTAGATACTTATCTACTGCAAGTTATGGACGACGGTTACGCAATATCACAAATTGATTGAAGTTAGGTATGCACATCAATAGGATGTCGGCTTAGTGGTCTGGAGGTCAGGGGGTTCACTTTCGAGGCCGAACATCCTGGATCTAATCTCCTGCAGTGGAATCGGGGGTGCTATCTGCTGAGACGTCCCATACTAAGAGCAAACGGCCATCAAGTACTTTACGACTTTCATTGGTGATCTAACCAATGTCAGTTTATGATGTAAACTAAGAAAGCTCTACAATTTCTGCAAATCCTTTTATACAAAATATGAAGTTGTTAAACTCATGTCCGCTAACCTTCAGTAGTGGGTTTTGATTCCTATGTTTCGCCATTGTTTCATGTTCAGTCATTAGAAAAATATATTTAGCATAAATAACTATACTTAAATGAAGAAGGATCATAATTTCTTGTTTTCAGATCTGAAACTTGATCGAAACCGTTTGTTCATCACACCTGTTCACTTTATTAACGTTCTATTTCCTCAGAATTGATTAATAGAGGCAATTATTTATTTTTATGGAACATTAAACACTTAATTCATTTTAATTTAATACACAAACCTTTATGAAACATTTTTTATATAGGCTGTCGTTTTAATGCTGTATTGGACAGGGGATTTGCTATGCTAGATATTCATTATTGTTATCCAGAAGACAATGGAGCATACTTTTGTGTAGCACGTAATGCAGCAGGACAGGTACAAAGCAACGTGGTTGAATTACAGTAAGTAAATAATATTTAAGTTTTCATTTACATGAATATGTATGGTAGATGACGAGACTATTGATTTCATTGACTGTATGCTTGTGTTTATTTTTAGATTGACAAGTAGTTTTGCAACTCACGAAAATGATACTCCTGTAAGACAATGCGGAAAACAATGTTGTCAAGAAGAAAACGACAAAGTTTATCTCTAGATCTAATGGTGTAGAGTGTATTAGGATATATAAACTGGAATTGATAAATACTATGAATTAAAACAGTATATGTGGGCTTCAAAACAGAAATACTAGTTTAAGCATAGATGATATTTCACACCTCCAGCTTGTTCAACCCATACTTACAAAATTTGTCGATTTATTAGTTACTTACGAATCATGATGAAAACTATTTAATTTTGCTGTACAGTGTTTCACAAAGAATAAGTTCATTTGTTGACTAACATGATATTTTGAATAATAGCTAAACGAACAGCAGTTTATCTGAAAATAAGGTTTCATCGAACACTTCGGTGTCTCGATGATCTTCAATGGTACGATTATTTGATTCAAACTGTTCTAAATGACTGTTGTTTCTTATCGATTTTATTCATTTTACCCATTTATTGAAATATAAGTAATTTTTAGTGAATTAGCTCATAATCAATATATTAACGTTATATGTCAGTAAGTGTTCTTGCGATCCCTCATATAAACGACTTAGTCTTATTTGTCCTACATTGCTGATTCTGTCGATTAACTTGTGTAATCTGTTGACAAATGAATGTTTCCATTGAAAATGTTTTGCCTTTAAATAATATATCTTATACTACCCCCCCCACCTCAATTTATATCACAGATGTAATGCAGATGAACATATTGTCACTAGTTCAGTATTATCGAAAGAATCAATTACATATCTTCAAAGTTTGGATGCTTGGGAAAGTGATGCAATGGCAGGGTAGGTTACATAATGAATTTATTTAATATAATTGTTATATTAACTTGTCAAGTATATTCTAATCTACACCAGGATTGGTGTCTTAGTCCCTATTGTTATATCCGAGCGAAGATTAAATCACGAGTAACTCCTGAGACATATTAATTGACTAATATTATCTATATATTCTTATGGTGTAGCTATTCAATAATTAGATTATGTACATTTATATTCCTCTTATTATAAGCTTTATTTTGACCTATAATTTATTATTGTACGACTTACGGCTCTTAAGCTATGTTCCGTTTATTGACTACTACCTCCCACGTTCACAGCCATATTTGGCCAAATGTGGCCAATAATCTAATTACTGAATAGTTACACCATAAAAACATATAGATAATATAAGTCCATTAATATGTTTCAGGAGTTACACGTGATTTAATCTTCGCTCGGATATAAAACCTATTGCTGACTTCAAATTGAACGAGTGATGATAGTAATAGTGATGAAACATGAGTCATACTTCTTAAGTTCACATAGATTCTATCAACTAACTACGTCAATACAACGTCGATAATAAAACTTTGAATACGAAAGCGGTTACGATGTATATATTTCATACATTTAATTTAGAAGACAGACAAACAGAAATATATATGAAGTAGAGAAGATAGAAAGTTAAAAAATTACTCAATACAAGTGTTAATATTATTCATAATGGACAATGCATAATGCTAACAAGAAGATAAGCATTAAATAAGACAATATCAAGAGTATGGACAAACACATACAATACATAAAAGTGCAGAACCATAAGGATATAAATAAAAGAGATATGTCTTATGAACAGAACAGAGTAATTAAGACGGTAAAAATGACGCAATAATTATATACTATCTGAGTTATCCGTCTGTTCGGAAGCTAGAATAAGCCCACACAAGTGTTATATAACAACAAAGCTATTATTATGAACTGTCCTTTGAATACTAGGAGGAAAAAGCTGTTTAATATTGACTGATTTTCAATGAATGTCTAACTATAATCAGTTCATGATGTCAAGTCTAAGAAATATATTAATCTTAGATAGAGTAAATCATTGTAAATACACATAGTATCATGAAGTGATTCCAATAGCCATTCATTTCAGATATAAAGAAATATTATATCTAGGAATCTATACTGACAACTGGTAGCAAATTTTTATGATTTTTCATTTTTTTATTTATGCATATATGTATATTAGATTATAATACGAATTAGTTAACTATATACACGGTATACCGTGAGTCCTCCCGCGGTTGATCGATTTCTTTTAGCATTTATCCATCCTGTGAGCATTATGTTGATATTGCTATTGAATCATGAGCAATTTTAAAAAAATTAAACGATTGAAGTCTTTAATATCAACAACAGGATAATAATACATACAAGATACTGATTATTTGGACACAGTAGATTAGCGGATAACACATTGAACGTAGTAAAATCCAATTTTTAATATGAACATCAACATTAAAGTGTAAGCATATCTAAAACAAATTCACGACTTGCATTCAACTGCAAGCCACTGTTTAACTATTCTCATAATGATTTTAAGTTTCTGTTTGGAAAACTGATAGAATTAAAAGTTGAGACACAAAATGGAAGAAAATCACAACAAGTAATAGCAACATACATTGTACAGTTGTTTTATGGGCTTAATTAAAGAGAATTTAATAGAAAAGATATGAAATCATTGTTTGGTAATGGAATGTATATGAAAAACTTATGTCTTTAACTATTTCTTTGATAAAAAAAGATCAAAAAACCGTCGCGTAATATCGTGAATTATTTGAGGTTATACATGTGCACCACTGGATATCGACTTAGTAATTTAATGTTCCAGATTTGCTATTAGCCCTGCAGGTCCTGATTTCTCCCCCCTGTGGTGATGTTGTGAATGAGCACTACTGAGGAGTCCCATATTAGGATGAAACATCTATCTAGGACTTAGAGGTTCCTTTCTATTTGGGACCCTTCAGCAAGATGTACTTGTACATCAAGCTTATAGTCGCGGTGTGAATACAGATACAAGATTGTATATCAATTCAGCTGACGAGTTCTAAATTAGATATAACGCACAACTAGAGTCTCAATTCTAGTCACAAACCACCTGTTCTATAAAAAGTTATGAAGATTGATTATATTTAGGTAGTCCTCACAGAACGTACATAGTGCCAACCTATACCGGTCAAAATTCAGTCAAGAATATCAGCGAAACATGAGAAATTAAGACCTTTTGTAATGATGATATAAATTGTTTTTATTATTGTCATTTAATTCCCTCATAGTTATGATACAGTTAAAAGAGAAGAAGAAGAACCGCCATCTGCACCGTCATTCGATATTCTCCCTGTTGCTGTCACTGTCACTGAAGGTTCGCCAGCTAAATTTATTGTTAAAGCAGGTGGTTATCCAAGGCCTAAAATATTCTGGTATATTAATGGGGAATTGATAGCCTCAGTAAGTTTATAAATGACTGAACTTTTATTATTTAACTAGATAGCTCTATATTCTTTTATAGTACGATATACTATTAGTTATAAGATAATATAGCCGAACGATAATCGAGAGTTGTACCACCACTACGCCGGATACACAAGCGATATGCTATATAACGAATTAGATCACTTTACATTGAGTTACAATGTTCATGCTCAAGTATATGGAACCTGGGTGTAGTCTAAACGATGTTCATTCAACACAATGACAGTCAACCAACAAATATCTTACTTCATTAGTCCACACATAAATTCATAACTTTACATGATTTACATCTTAATAATCTGATCACTTAATTTTCTTTGTACTCGTACTCATACTATTAATTTTAAAAATAATACTGGACATTTATATACAGTGGGTTAATTTCAAACTTAATCTTTATTTAGTAGTTGAATTCATGAGTCGATTAAAGCTAGACCACAATGGAAAACGTGGAAGCACTGAACGACCGTTTCGTCCTAGTACGGGACTCCTCAGTAGTGTGCATCCACGATCCAATCCGCGGGATTCAAACCCAAGACCTATCAATCTCACGTGTGAATGCCTAACCTCCAGACCACTGAGCCGGCATCTGACAGTGTTGATGTCTGACATATTCTATTGTGTGTTGAAGTCCTGGGTTCGAATCCTACTGGGGGATCAGGTATGCGCACTGCTGAAGAGTCCCGTACTAGGACGGAACTGCCATCTTGTGCTTCCAGGTTTTCGATTGTAGTCTAGCTTTAATCGACTCATGAATCCAACTATTAAATTATTACAATATCCACAAAACCCTCTTTCTGTTAATTCTTATTCTTTCATAACAGAATGTTATTTAAATGTAAATACTCTGATTAAGACATTAAAAACAATAGTCGACCGAAGGAACATATATTTTCAACTCATCTTTCATTAAGGCTCTAAACTAATAAATAAGATAGCAATAAATAAAGTCGATACTGAAAAGATGGAGGTTGATCTACTTAACAATCTACTTCATTACTTTCACTGAAAACAGTATTCAGTTAAAAACTCAACAAAATTAAATCTCAGTATGAGACTACATAATCGAGATACTTTTAAGTATCTCTCAACAATAGTATTATTTAAGACGTCTGGGAAATTCAAATGATTTTTATGAAATTTAAATATAAGTATATGCTGCCTAGTGAGAGTGTATTGTAAAACTCTTCATTCCCAACTAGAACTAATGTTGTTCTATATTGTGACGGTGGTAACTTCATAGTTATGATATATAGTAATACACATTGATGTCTGACAAACAGATCACTTTTCAAAGGTCGCCTGGTAATCATAGGTGGTGGTACGAAGAAGTTAGATCATGATAGATCTTCTGTAGGATGTAGATGTTCAGATCACAATCGGCCAAAGTATAACACACATACATAAGGAGGAGTAATCGAACAATGCATTCAAGGGTCATGGAAAATGTGCCTAGACGGCTTTAAAACCAATAAGTGTTAAAAGATCTGATCAATTTTGGAGGTAGAAAACCAAGTTCATCGATACTGAAGCATACAATTCAAACGGGGCACAAAATTGACAAAATATAACTACCAATTTCGTGTTGTCTATCATGAATAACTCAGTTAAAATGTCTGACATACAACCTGATGAGAGTTCAATCCCATTTCACTGGAAAATCTGTGCCCTAACAATCACGGTTACATTTTATTGACAAGTACCAAATAAGTCTGGAACTTTTTTTGGATTAGCTATGACTGCCTAAAATATCTAGACGCACACAATTGTGTTAAGTCACTTAAACAGGAGATCACGTTGGAACAGGATTCTGAGAGTTTTATCTGTACTTAGGATGGGATATTATAGAATTAATCTTCAACCAATTATTATTCCATAAATAAAGCTATTCACGTGTTGTGATTCCATAAAACTTATTTAGTATAGGCTAAAGCTGAAAACAAACATTATGTCGAAATCAAATTCCTATCTTTGTCTTGACAGTAACTGGGATCTGTATTTTGCATATATATCGATCATTAAGATTTCGAGTTCTATATGATAACTATAAGGTATCAATTAGGTTGTTCTGGAAAAAATTATGTATACATTTAATTCAACCAACTAGTATGTTAAAAGTTTGCTTTTTATGTCAACTACGGAAAATTATGTGTATAGGTGCCTATGTAGTTCATAATATTTTCATGCTTTCTACAAGCTGGAATAGATAATATTAAATTATTCATCTTCACATGATGAGGAATATTTATAGTACAAGATACAAGTATTCGAGATGTTTTACTCTCTAAGCTGGATGGTTTAAGTATGAAGCAATATAGATTGTTGGCTTTACTATCATAAACTTTATCATTGCTTAATGAGTGTTAATGCAGTGAATTATAAACATAATTAAGATTAGCTCGTTTTCTGAAATCAAGTTCTAACTGATAAGTTAATCGCTGTACAAAATGATATAAACATCAGTTTGATTTTGTAGCTCGTGTTTTTCAGCATTGCAGTGGTGATGTTTAAGATAACAAGATAGTAATAGAATATTTACTGAGTGAATTTCTAGCTGAGAAATTAATTCTATTTGAACCTAAACACATAATATATGTATTAATGAATAACATAAAAAATAGGCCATTTTCAATACATAAAAACGTACATATCAATGTAAACTATGAATTCCCATTGTTTCTAATCACCTGTTTATCATTAGTCTGGAGGTGGAGGAAATTGGAGAATATTTCAAGATGGTGGTATTAGTAATCTAGAATTTCATCGTGTTGGTACACCTGGTGAATTACATATTAAAGCTGTTGCAAGAAATAATATGGGTGAAGCTGCTGCTGAAACAATATTGATTATTGAACCACAATTAGACTTTAGACCAGATCTACGTCATGTTGAACCAGGTAAATAGATTTAAATTTCCTGAATATGTTTACTTATATTTCACAACATGAACTCATTCTTCACGGTTATTTTCTTTTTTTTACTCTTCCTACTATAATGAACACTAATCTCAATTTTTCTGCATTTTCTTAGAAGTCACAATTTTATCAGTATAGGGTTGTGAAGATTATCAAGCTTTTGATTGAGATCATGAATCCACTGATGTTCACTATTGACCAGCTTCGTGAGGGAATTCTCGAGGTTCTAATGAGAAGCCGTAACCAATGGAGCTAATCCATGTCAGATAGAGACAGGTATCTGCCTCAGTACAATGAAAGATGGTCGCGCAATTTCGTGAATTGGTGTAGGTTAGACATTAACACCGTTGGATGCCGGCTAAGTGGTCTAGAGGTAGAGCGTTCGCGTGCGAGACTGAAGGCTCTGGATTCGAATACCGCGAGTGAGATCGTAGTTATAAACTGCTGAGGAGTGCCACAATGGGGCGAGACAGCCGTCCAGTGCTTCCAGGTTTTTAATGGTGGTCTAACATCAGTCAATTCATAATCTCAATCAAAAAGTCAGAATCTTGTTTGCTTTTTCAAAACAAATGGAATTTTATTATTTGATCATACTGTACTACTTTACTTGGGATGAGTTTAGTGTGCAATTATTTTTTACCCTATAAATTTATGTTTTTATGTCATTTAGACACTTCATAAAAGTACAAAGCCAGAACGTACCTGATATCATCTGATAAGTGAGATTAAATTTCACAAGTCGATGAATCAACTGTAAGATGTAAATTTAACAATTATTTTGATTTAACGGCTGTATAGTAATATTTTCTTGTGATGCGATATACTTACTTGCTTATACCAGTTACTCCTTGGAAAACATATGCCACTGACCAGAATCCAAATAGCCTATTCTATCTTGTGCTGTCCTTCCTAATTGTTGCCAAGTACTATTTATTCTTTCTTCTGATGTCTATCCAAACAAGCTATCTGTCCTTTTTTTTCCTATGTAACAAAACTATTCATATATGTTCTACATTGAAACTAATTTACAACTCCTTATATAGTTTAACTGTCAAAAGAATTTGATATAAAAAGGAAAAAGTATCCTTCCAGATTGAATAGTTCAATGTATACTGTGTTGCAAAGGTGAAAAAAAAAGAAAGAAAAACAACGTGTATAATATCGTAACATGTGTTCATTAAAATATCACAATAGTGACAGTCAATACTTGTCATTGAATAGAAAGTACATTTTATTTAATATACGATCGAACAATTGATATTTGACTGTTGTTTTTTAGTGGTAATATTTTTGAAAGATATTTTCTATTGTTAACAATCGTAAGGCTAACAATTCTATAAGGTGACATTACATACAGATTTTTCTGAATATGTCATGGAGATACATGTATTCAAATGCCACGAGAAAACTCAGCTCTTTGAATATTGAAATTACTTGTCTTTGATAAGTGTCAAGCATCACAATACATGGAATCTCAATGCTTTCAACTAACATTGTGTGAAATAAAAATACGTTTAAGTAACCTACTTTTTAGCTAAACATCATAGTTTGGTCACAGTATTACTCTACATATACAAAGTTAAATATCTGTTATAGAACTGTGAAATAAATAATAATTCTGGCAGGAAAACGTTTATCAAATAAATAAATCGAGTTGTTGTTCTAGAATAAAGCAACTTATAATTCTTCTATGTAAAATAACAAGGAAACTGGCTTATAAACAATGTAATTAAAGAAACAAGAAAAGGTTTGGGAAGAAGTAAACTAATTAGTCTATTAAAATCAATAAGGCAATTGAAAGTCAACTGTCGACTCTTGTAGGATATAAGCATCACTTTTGATCTATATAGTTTCTATAACATCTGTATGAAATAAAATTTCAAGGACAGTACGTAATCACATTATACTGGCGCTATGATTATCCATGAATGTTACTTTTATAAATCTAGGTATGTGTTAGCGAGTTCGTTCATCGTAATATGATTTTGATGCTGTGTTCGCTTCTGGCTACTGGCTGAGCAAAAGTAGAACTGCATTTCAGACCAACAACCTTTAAGTTTTGTTCTCAGCTTTTATCTCCCTATTATCATATAATCGATTACCAGGTCACTAATACTGCGTAGACGATCTATGCAAAATTATCAATGCTTGGAGAGGTTAATACAACTCCCATTCTGTAATTACGGCCCAATCACATGGGTTTCGATAAAATCCAAGTATATTAAGTTGATTTGAATCGTTTGAATGATCCTGTTAGTGGCATTTTGAGTGAAATTTAATCAACTATGGAATGCAGATGCATTCGACTGATGAGTCTCGGGTAAGACGAATCATGGATCCCACTCTGTTATGACCTTGGATGGCTTTTACCCCGTGATACTTGTTATGACTTCACCTTGATCTGTTTAGACTAAACTGTGACCTTGACGCGCTAGGCTGAGTGGCTTAACCTTGAGTCTAATACGCGTGAGTTCGATCGGGGTAGAGAGAACTATTCTAAATCCTGATTGGTTGGCAAGCACGCGAGTGAAAGAAGACAAGACAGTTGGAACACTAAACTCTGGATTCCCTGAATTCAGATTACTACAAAAATGTACATGAATAAATAAGTGCATATCTTGACCACGACGTACGATAATTTGGAAAAATACAGTTATGCCCGAAACAGGGAATTAGGGTAGAAAATATAGTGCAAAATATAATGTTTAAATCACAATATTTTTGGAACAAAAAAGGGTATGCTAGTGAATGATACATAGAACGAAAGCTCGTGTTATGTAGAATAAGATAGGGACAAAAATGAATATAAGTGTTTTACAGGTTTTGAATGAAATGCAATAACGTCCCAAGAAAATAGCTTTCGTAATTGTCTGGGCTTCTTAATTCCCCGTTCATAACACACTCCAAGCCACATTACATCTATTCTATATAAATCCAAGTATCTACTTTTTTCCGTTACGTCAGTTACATAGTTGTTGGGGACGATAGATCCCCAAAACTCAAATTTTGTAATTTACTTATCGATTAAATGTGCAGATAGGTCAATTGATGAACTATCGATTAAATGTACAAATAGGTCAATTGATGAACTATCGATTAAAGGTTCAAATAGCAGTCAATTGTTGATTAATGTTCAAAAATCTTCCATGACAATATCGATTGTAAATATTTGTATAAATACGCTTGACTTGTATGCTTGATCTGATCTGCCTGCCTGACTTGTTATCTGCTGTTTGTCTGTAGAATACACTTTCTACACCTTACCCAGACTTTTTGATCGAGTTAGCAGAGTTGGGGACAACGGACCAGAATAGACTATCGAGATTCTGAATCCTTGATCCGATCGATAAGTCACTGTCATATAATCGGCATGTCACTTTGAGACATAACATACATAGTATAAAAGTGTACGCTTATAATCCGTTTAAGATTCAGAAATTATGAGATGTGTTATTGAAGACTTCAGAACTTTCGGAACTATTATACAGATTGCTAATGTCTATATTTTAATTATATCATTGTCAGATAAGTGATTTATTGTATTTCTACATTAAATGGGTTGTAAGTTACTGTTAAACCTATTAACTATAGCAATACGTTTCATTATCCTTTCATTATTTTCTTGTTCTCTAATAGCGTGATTTTCTGTAAAGTATGATTTCAAATTCGAGGTGCACTGCGGTCTGATAAGTCACGTATATAAAGTAATGAGTCTTTAAAGGAGATATACTGGGTGATTGAAATTTGATAATAAAATCTTTACTACTTTGTTTTCTTATTCGAACTCAAGAGAATACGTTTTGAACCGTTTAGTCATGGCTGCACTCAAGGTTAATCTAAACAGTCAAAGTGTAGAATTAGTCGATTTATATTTATTTATTTGAACACATAAACGTTAATACAAACGAGTACCACATGCATATGCGCCACACAAGTCACGTGATTTGTGTTGGCTGTGATACTGCCTGGGTGCTCAGACCGAGCCACACTCGTAAACTTCGACCTAAAAGTCTGACCCACAAGGCAGTGGAGCAACGTATGGAGGTGGATCTTCCATATCCGCCAACTCGGTTAAAGCGCTGAACATTCCCTTTTCGTCCTCTCAATTTCGTACGCAACAGTAATGTCGCGGGAAGGCAGTGAATAGGACTTTTCTGACAGTGGCTGTGTACGCGTGACCATATGAGAGCGTTTCGAGAAGAAGAGCGAACTTTCCATACCCTCGGTCGTACAAGGGTATTTGGAGGCAGAATTAGTTGAAGCTTAGAGCTCTAGACGATCTTAAAAGTAGTTGTATACATGGAGTAAAGAAATTATAACTAGGCCTTTGACTGGTGAATCATGTCTCTCAATACTGTACAGTTTGTATCCGTAACAATGTAATTTTTGATTTTTCTTTGTTATTGTTTGTAAAGAAATATTTAAGATTTTTATTTCAATAATTTCTAACACTTCAAGATTGTATTTGAATAAATTGTTTGATTTTAATCTTCATAATGTAGAAAATCCATTCAAAAAACTTGCGCAATTGAAGAAGGTAAAATGTAGTGATGAACTTTCATCAGCTTTTCGTAAACCAAAGGCCCAAGCGCTTGATTTACGACGTTTAGAGCGAGGTGAGTTCAAGTGTTTTCATTTGTCATTTTTACTTTATGTTTACACATCATTCATTTTTGTTATGCTCCCACACACACATCGGTCAGTCAGTCAGCTACAACGTAGGACCAGGCACATATATGCATCGGTCCAGGTTGCCATACCGCATTAGCACAGCAAGATGAACACCGGATTCATAGGAGTGGTCTGGTCAAAGGTGGTAATATATAGGAGAAAGATTGCATATAAGGATACAGTACAGGAAGAAAGAATTGGTTCGTAGAAAGAAAGATATGAAGTGATTTTAATCTCTTAGTTTAATGGAAGACAGGGAGCGTATGCACCTACGCCATTGTGATCGATTCTGAGCCATGTCACCAAGAGTCTCCAACCATCGGTTAGAAAAGTCACGCGGACCCCAACCAAGTAGTCTGCATCTACTAACATGGCTCAGACTAGAGGTTAGTGTCTTCAAGCACACACACATACATATATGTGAAAATTTGCAATTGTTGTTGAAAAAAGAAAACAAACTATTTTAGAATAGGTGATTCTACTAAACAAAAGCTATCTTTAAACTAGATATATAAAATCCTTGTGTTTGGATGACATGGCAGATCTAAGATTAGTTTCACTGCTTTGTTATCGTAACAGGTATATATTTAACTTCCCACAAAGTCATTGAATTAATACAAGTATTCTCTCTGATTGTTTACTTATAAATCTCGCGAGAAGGAATGCATTCCAAATTAAGTTATAAATATTCATGCTGGATTATGAAGGCTTTTTTAGTTCAAAATATGTATAAACTAAAACACTGAGTATTGTAGTAAAGTATATAATGGAAAACGGTTTATGAAATCACTAACAAATTTAGTTAGTTTATTCATATTAGATTATGAAAGTATCACAGCTTCTAGATTGGATCGTGAAACTATCAGTTTTAAATTTTCACAATAACATATAAGCGAACAATATTGTTTTCAATTGGATCCTCATCAGGCTAGAGCAGTGAAGTGAATGTTTAGTGCAGCTAACCTCCGTCTGTTGTTCTCAACCCAAACTATGGTGATTCCTCAACTAAATGATAATTTACCTGGTCCTATGTCTTGCATGAGTATTCGTGAATACGCTCTGCAGAGGAGTCCGATACTAGGACGAAATGATCATACAGTGCTGTTGGTGTAGCTTATATTGACTTTTGAATTCAACTGTTAAAACATTTACGGGTATTTACGAATTCAGCTTCTCCTGTGGAAAAAGCTGTATTGAGCACACAACCAGACAGCTAAGCCACTTACTGAACGCCTCCTTTGTGATTAAGAAAGGGTATCGTCAAAACAATATGCAGCTCCGTTCTACCATACTCAATCGATAGTGGTTATGTAGTAGATAGAAATAGGTTACTCTAAGTGATTTATCGTATTCCGACTAGTTTTTGTTATGGGATTCAATCTCGTCTCGTACATATAGCAAAAGCTGTAAGGATTCGAACTAACAATCCAAATCTTTGTATTCATAAGAAATTTGTAACACCTTTTCCTCTTCCTTGACCGAATTAAGTGCAATAGAAAAATAATTTAATCCTTATTATTTTCTATTCTCATATTCCATTTGTTTTTCATCACTCATCAGTTTTTTTCATTTCTCAAGTATGCGCTTCATTGAACACTTCATAATACATTATCTTAAAATTTTTATTAATGTTATTTCAGTGTCCAAATATTTCAAGTCACTGAACTATTTCCTCTTATGAAACATTGATTCAAGCCCTTGTTAATCCTATTACAACTAGTACACCTGTCATATGTTTATGTGTTGATTGGTTTAATAATTTTGTATATACATAGAATAATAACTGTATGTTAGAGTAAAGCCTGATGAGGATCCACTTCAAAACGGCATTATTCGCTTATCTATGTTGTTTTAATTCACAATATGGGAATTTTCAAAATTTGGATTTTTAATTTGTTTACCTTTAATACATTAAATTATATTATCCGAGTCACACCATAAGATTTAAAGATCTTTGTTAGTACTTACAGGTGAAGAGTTGCAAAAACAACATCTGTCCAATGTTTCTTATTTCTTTTTTTATTTTCACCTGGTAACATTAGTTATTTAGAAAAGTTGCTAGAAATTTTTCATGTATCTGTTTTTTAAAGCACTTGAAATTCGTGGTCGATCTGCTGCTGGTGTAGATGTTGAAGAAACAGAAAATCTATATTCACGTGTTCAATCTCAATTACGTACTAATAGACGTTCTAGTGTACCACCAAGAACACCGCCACCTTCACAACCTCAACTACAGAATGTTCAACCAAATAATGTTCAGTATCAAAAACAAACAACAGCACCAAATACACAACAGTATCAGGCACAACAACAACAACACCAACAACAAAATTTCCAAGTAAATGGGTTTTTATTGATGATAATCTAACATTTTGAGGACATACGTGTTTTTGAGATATTACCACTATTGACTTACTAAGTTAGTCAATAGTTTATATTTGATAATAGTCTTTCAAAGAAAAATGGTAGTTAGTCCTTCAAATATCCCGTTCGCATGATTAGTTTCAACCTATAAGAGCTATCTGTACTTCTTTTCTTAACTTGGAGCGTGCAGAAGCTCAGTTACAGTAAAAAGATACACTTACCTTTCTCCTAGGACTGACTTCAAAAGTTTACATACTAGTTTTAAGCGAACACATATTCGTGTCTTCTGACAAGTTTTTGTAAACTAATGTATTTTAGAATTCCACCCATGTAGGATTGCCAATTTATTAGGACGAACAGTGCGGAAGTATGATACGAAGGATTATTACTGATATTTTATTGTAATTATTGGATGCTTTTACTGTTGTGCTTTTATATTCTCCTATTAAAAGCTATTGTTTGACTCATATTTCATCGTCATATATATCATTATTCCAGATTTATCACTATATATTTATTCCTTTATAACTATGGTTTTCATGGAAACCATGAACCGAACAATGTCAGACTACCATTGAAAACCTGGAAATACTGAACGGCCCATTCGTCCTAGGCAACAGAAAATGGTCGCGCGACATCGCACACTGGTTGAAGTCAAACATTAACGCCAATGGATTCTGGTTCAGTCATCTAGAGGTCAAGCATTCTCGCGTTAGGCCAAAGCTGCTAGGTTCAAATCCCCCATGCACAGCGTGGGTGTGCACTGCTGGGTTCTACATGCAGTCCAAGGCTCCCAGGTTTCCAATGGTGGTCTAAAATTGATCGGTTCATGGATTCGATGCAATTCAACAACCTCTACAACCCCGAACTAAAAACTATGGTTTTGTACCACATAACTAAGTTATACACACATCATATTTCCCTAAATATGTTTCTATATGGTCTGATTATTGTAGTCATATACCTGTATGACTTTTCGGTCCTGGTTAAATTAATTTTAACAACGAATAGATCTGCTGTCCATC